TTTTTTGTCAATATCGCACACCCCTAATTTATGTTATTTAATTGATGTAATAATTTATTGATAATAATTGTTTAAATTAATATAATAATTAATACTTTTGACTCATCCATATTCTTAAAAATGGTTTAAAGGCTGAACTGTAAAGTTTATCATTTTATTAAACTTTTTGTTTTTGTGAAAACTTGTATCTGAACTGTAAATTAGGCTTTTTACAGTAATTTTACAGTTTAATATGGTACTATAGACGTTGCCCTACCCCGCTCATATGGTATTAATTTTATTTGTGCAGGTCTTAAAAAGGTCTTAAATTTGAGCTTAAAAATCCTGCAGAAACCCTGAAAGATAAGGCAAACAAAAACGACATAAAAAGGACAAAACACAAGACATAAAAACAAGACAAACAAAAAAAGTCAAAACAAAGACAAGACAAACAAAACAAAGACAAGACAAAAAAGGACAGAACAAATCAAAGACAAGACAAAAAACAAGACGACAAACAAAAAAGACAAGACAAAAATAACACAGACAAAGCTAAACAAAGACAAGACAAAAAACAAGACAAGACCATTAGTTTTAGAAAATGCATCAGTAGAGATACCCAAGAGGCAGTATGACTGAAAACACTCACTAGATGCCAGCCTGAATGAAGCGTGGTTTGAAGTTGTTGAAAGTGTTGACTGCAGTGCAGACCGTCACATCTGTGACTCTACTCACACTGGAGTTCCTCTTTACAGTCTGAAGACTTGTGCTGCTACAAAAACCTGTGTAACACACTTTACCTGTAAGGCCCAAAAACAATTTTTTTAGAAAACAATTTTAGAAAATAATTTAATTGACTAGGAATTGTTTTGTCATATAAAATAATACAAACAATAATGTTGTTAATGTAACAGTGATGAGACTAAAACCTCTTACCAAACATGATATTATTGTAGTTGACGATCCAGCTCTCATCCCAAATCATTTTCTGTTTTTGGTATTGCAGCCACTAGGGGGGAAAAAAATCATAATGGGAAAACACAAGTAATATGGTTTGTAACAATTGTAATAACTTAGCCAGAATAATACATTACTGACTAGTTTTTTAGCCTCTAAAGGAACGTGGTGATAGAAAACAATATGAGATGCAAGTGAACGCAAAGTTTCATTGGGGAAACACAAAGGTGTTGCAAGCAACCAAAGTAAATGCAAAATTTCTTGGGGAAATGCAAAAGTTCTGCAAGTCAACGCAAAGTTTCATTGGGGAAACACAATGGTGTTGCAAATAATAACAAAGTATACACAAAGATTCTTGGGGAAACGCAAAAGTACTGACAGTGAATGAAAAGTTTCTCAGGAGGACTTAAATGTTTTCCAAGTACATAAAAGTTTCTTTGAGAAACACAATAGTTTTGCGAGCAAACACAAAGTCTCTTGGGGGATTGCGAAACTTTTCAACGTTTCTTGGGGTAATGCAAAAGTAACATTTTTCAGGAGAACTTAAAAGTTTTCCAAGTAAACGCATAGTTTCACGGAGGAACACACCCAGCAGGAACACAGTGTCATAAGACGTTGATATTTGGTTAAATTTCGGTTGCGACATCAGGTGACCAAAATTCAATGTCAAGTCAACGTCTCATGTCAATGTTAATTTGATATCCATTACCATCGTCAGCTGACGTTGATGGTGACGTCAACCCGATTTTCATTCTCAACCAAAATGCAACGTCTGTCCGACGTTATATTGACGTCCTGTCTCTGCTGGGCAGGTTTTGCAAGCGAATGCAAAGTTTTTCATGGGAACGTAAACGTTTTGCAATTGAACGCAAAGTTTTTCAAAGGAACGCAAAAGTTTTGCAATTGAATGCAAAGTTTTCCTAGGAACACAAAAGTTGCAAAATGCTATTTTTTTTTTCAAAAGAACAAAGTTTCATGGGAGAACAGTAGTTTTGCAAGAAAACGCAAAGAATTTGCAAACAAATGCAAGGTTTCTCATAAGAACACAACAGTTTTGCAAGTGAACGCAGAAGCATTTTCATCTACTTTTTTCCAAATCTCATATCTTTATCATTTCCATGTCCATGGCTCTGTAAAAATGTGAGTGGTACTTTCCTGTGAAAAACCCATAAAGGGTATTGTTAGTGATTGCTAGAGCATTGCTATGCATGTTGCTAATGTGTCTGCTGAGATGGGAGTTGATTGCTTACTTGGTTCAAATCAAATCAAAATCTATTTGATCTATTCCTTCCTTCAATGTAAGTTTCTTGTCCCATTTTATCATCTGCAAGTTGTATCGACTTGCAAATCATTGTCAAGTGTTGAACCGACATTCTCACCACCAGCGTCAAGATGAAACCACTGCAGAACAAGGCCACAGGAAGCCCAATGGCCACTTTGATGGATGTGGACATAGGACAAACCCCACAGTCAGCAGGACATGTCAGACAGCTCTCCTCCAGCTCACAGATGTCGTCGCCACACACTGACACACAAGTACAAATGAAAGTGCAACATAACCTAGACAAACCTTCATTTTGTTCTCATGACACTAATGATTTCCTGGATCAGTATTAAAATGTCAACCTTGCTTAATCAAACGCTAGATTTATTTTGAATAACATCTATATCCTTGATGTACCAATTGTTTGAAGACATCTTTTCTGTAAATCCCTAAAGCATTTATCAAGTTATACTAACCTTGAGCGCTGACTACTAACACCTTGGACTCTATTGCTGAATGCATCTGTCCCACTTTGATATGAGCAATGACCGATGTAACTCCTAAATGGACCAGCACCACCTGGGTAAAAATAATTAAAATAAAATAAAATAATAATAAAAAAAATAAATAATAATAAAAAAAATAAAAATAATAATATAAAATAAAATAAAACATACAATAAAAATAAAATAAACTTAAATTAAATTAATTGCTTGTAACCTTTGATGTCCAGAGCAGTTGGCTCATCTTGCCAGCTTTGGATACCGTGTGGGTTACAATTTCGCCATCATCTGGAATCCAGGGACCACAAATCCCTCCGCCTCTCTAAACAGACAAAATACAATCATCTGACTGTTAAAGGTTTAAAGGGTTGTGGAGCAATCAAGGCTAATATTGACTGTCAAACATCATGCACAAATTATAATAACAGCTTTCCACACTGTACAATTAATGGCCCCAGTTTAAATAAAACCTGAATAAGTGCTCATCAAGGCTGGCCCACTTCCCAGTGATGAGCTTCCTCCCCTTTCCGCACTTTCTTACACACACACACACACACACACACACACACACGTCTGGTTTGCTATCCTTGTGGGGACTCTCCATAGGCGTAATGGTTTTTCTACTGTACAGACCGTATATTCTATTGCCCTACACCTAAACCTACCCCTTACAGGAAACTTTCTGCATTTTTTTGATTTTCAAAAAACTTCATTCTGTGTATCCCCATGAGTCTGTGTGTATTCAGGTTTAAGTCCCCAAACAGGTACACAAACACACACACACACACACACACACACACACACACACACACACATAAATACATACATTTAGACACTTAACTAAATATAGGGTCTATATTTTCCACATTTTGTTGTGTTACAGCCTTATTCCAAAATGGATTCAATTCATTATTTTCCTCAAAATTCTACAAACAATACCCCATAATGACAACGTGAAAGAAGTTTGTTTGAGATCTTTGCAAATTTATTAAAAATAAAAAACGAAAATCACATGTACATAATTATTCACAGCCTTTGCCATGACACTCAAAATTGAGCTCAGGTGCATCCTGTTTCCACTGATCATCCTTGAGATGTTTCTACAACTTGATTGGAGTCCACCTGTGGCAAATTCAGTTGATTGGACATGATTTAGAAAGGCACACACCTGTCTATATATGGTCCCACAGTTAACAGTGTATGTCAGAGCACAAACCAAGCCATGAAGTCCAAGGAATTGTCTGTAGACCTCAGCGATAAGGAGTGTATCGAGGCACAGATCTGGGGAAGGGTACAGAAAAATGTCTGCAGCATTGAAGGTTTACAAAAGCATGTAGTCTCTGTTACCCTTAATGGAAGAAGTTTGAAACAACCAGGACTCTTTGTAGAGCTGGCCTCCTGGCCAAACCGAGCAATTAATGGAAAAGGGCTTTGTCTAGACTGGTGACCAAAAACCTGATGGTCACTCTAGTTGAGCTCCATGATCATATGTGGAGATAGGAGAAATCTACAGAAGGACAAACATCACTGCAACACTCCACCGATCTGTGCTTTATGGCGGTGTGGCCAAACTCAATCCTCTCCACAATGAAGATGCATGAAAACGCACTTAGAATTTGCAAAACGGTACCTAAAGGACCCTCAGACTCTGAGAAACAAGAGTCTCTGGTCTGATGAACCTCAATTCCAAGCATCATGTTTGAAGGAAACCAGCTCTGCTCATCACCTGCAGAGCACCTTCCCAAAAGTAAAGTGTGCTGGTAGCAGCCTCATGCTGAGGGGCTGTTTTTCAGTGGCAGGGACTGAGGGACTCGTCAAGAGTAGAAGAAAAGCTCAATGCACCAAAATATTGAGATAGCCTTAATGAAAACCCAGTCCAGAGCATTCAGAACCTCAGACTGAGCAGAAGGTTCACCTTCCAACAGGACAATGACCTTAAGCACACCGCAAGAGTCAATTAAAGACAACTCTGTGAAGGTCCTTGAGTGGCCCAGTCAGAGCCTGAGCTTGAACCCAGTCAAATATTTCTGGAGAAACCTGAAAATGTGCGTCTGCCCCCATCCAACCTGACAGAGCTTGAGAGATGAAGAGGCGAGGAGAAGAATGGCAGATAACTGCCAAATGCTAATGATCAAAGCTTGTCACATTATACCCAAAAAGATTTGAAGCTGTAATTGGTGCCAAAGGTGCTTCAACAAAGTATTGAGCAAAGGCTGTGAATACTTATGTGCATGTGATTTTTATTTTAATAAATTTGCAAAGATCTCAAACAAACTTCTTTCACGTTGTCATTATGGGGTATTGTTTGTAAACTTTTGAGGAAAATCATGAATTTAATCCATTTTGGAATAAGGCTGCAGGGGCGTAGCCATCATTTCAGAGTTTAGCGCTCTGCGATGTTCATCTCGCCTTATTCTGGATCCGAATAAAACATCAGATCATGCACAGATCCTGTCTCTTTGAATTTAAATCTATATTTATTCACACCGGCTCTTGAAAACCTCTATGCAAACACACTTGCCCGAAAAAGTGCGGGGGACGAATTTACGTGATATTAAAAGTGGGGGGGACACGTCCCCCGCGTAATCTACGCACCTGTAAGGCTGTAACATAAAATGTGGAAAAAGTGAAACGCTGTGAACATTTTGCGGATGCACTGTAAACTACAAATTAGAGCCTTATAAAGCTTATGTAAACCAAAATTATACTACTATTCAAAAGAATAGGATCAGTAATTTTTTTTTAAAGAAATTAATACTTTTATTATGCAAGGATGCATTAAATAGCTCCAAAGTGACAAATATTTTTTTATAATGTAACAATTATATATTTTTAAATAAACATTTTTCTGTTCGTTGAAGAATAAAAAAAGTATCACGGTTTCCACAAAAATATTAAGCAGCTCAACATTTTTCAACATTGATAATCAGAAATGTTTCTTGAGCAGCAACTCAGCATATTAGAATGATTTCTGAAGGATCATGCGACACTGAAGACTGGAGTAATGATGCTGAAAATTCAGCTTTCTATCACAGAAATAAATAAAGTTTGAGAATATATTAAAATAGAAAACCATTACTTTAAATTTTAATAATATTTCATAATTTTACTGCCTTTACTGTATTTTTTCTAATGCCTTGGTGAAAACAAGAGACATGTTTTCCATTTAAATTAATTTGATTTAATTTTTATTTAAATAATTCGATTAAATTCAATTATATTATTTAATTTAGATTTTTAATAGATTTATTAAATGTTTAAGTTAATTTAAGTAATAATGGATTTAATTACTGTATATTCAATTATATTTAATTTAACGTCATTTAATTTAGATTTTAAATGTTTTATTTTTTTAAAGTAGTAAGTTTAATTAAATTCAAAGAGATTTTATTTTAAGTTTTATTTATTTAAGTATAATTAATTAAAATCAATTCAATAATTTTATTTAATAATTTAGATTTTATTTTTTATTTAAATAATAATGAATTTAAGTGTAATTATATTATTTTATTTTATTGAGATTTTTATTCATGTTTTAATTCTATTTTTATGCAATAATGAATTTAATTAAATGATTTCATTTCACTTAATTTCAGTTGCTAATTGTTTGTTTGTAGTTGTTTTTTGTAACCACATTAAATTCAATTATATTACTTAATTTCATGTCATTCAGTTGCTAATTGTTTGTTTGTTGTTGTTTTTTTGTAACCACATTTTAATGACAACATAATTAAGATTTAGCTTACATAATTTCAGCAAATTTGTCTCCAAAGAATAAGCAGTTTAGAAACATTCACATGCTCATACACGCAACCGCCACAGGGCATTTACTGTACGACAACGATAACTGGTATACTTCATACTTCAGTACTGTCATTTTATGACCTCTGATGTCATGCCAAAATGTGCCACATTTAGCCTAGTTTTTATTTCAAAGATGTCAGTAGCAGTGTGACAAAATCCAAGAGCACTTTCTGTTGGCTTCACACCGACCACAACAGCACTGACCATGAGCGCAAGAGGACAGGAGTGAATGTTGACGTGGTAAACACAGCAGTTGTCTTCATTGGCGTTGTTCCAGTTTGCGGGACATTCGTGCTCGAGGCAGAATCTTTTGGCCTCTGAGGCATTACTGTGGGACAAAGTGAAGCGTATAGTGTAACCGATGTTACATGAAGCTAACATTTCATTCATTGTGAACATGATATCACATTTGAGAAAAGCTCATGTGGTATATTGAACATTCAATGAAGTAAAAAGTGTTTTCTACACACAATAAAGCACATTTGAGAAGGCCGGCATTGTGCGTGGTGCTCACCCGAACTGGAAAATCTTGTTTTTAACGGCGTATTCATAAAAGGAATCCGAGGCAGTGACAGAGTAGGTAACGTTGAACTCCTCCCCATCCGTGACTTTTTCTGGTGGACGTTGAACCCAAGCCATTTCTAAGCCTGTGAAAAGATAGTACAACTCTCCAAGTGATCTACCAAAGCAAATGTTTGTCTTCTTTAAGGAAATGTACCTGTGACGGTACACACTCAGTTTGAATCAACTTTCAAATAAACGACACTTATATTGTTGGCTTATCGATTAGGAAACTTCCTTTAAGTTGTTGGCTTGTACATTTAAAGGGGTCATATGATGCGATTTCAATTTTTCCTTTCTCTTTGGAGTGTTACAAGCTCTTGGTGCATAAAGAAGATCTGTAAAGTTGCAAAGACTAAAGTCTCAAATCCAAAGAGATATTCTTTATAAAAGTTCAGAGTCAGCCACACCTACCTAAAACGGCTCGTTCTAACACGCCCCCACATACCTACGTCACTATCTGGGAAGATTTGCATAACGCCGCCCAAATGTTCACGCAAAGAAAGAAGACGTAACTTTTATTCTCGCTGTAGTTTTGTTGGTGCCGCCGGCGCCATGTTGTGGAGATGCTGTGTGTTTAGTTGTGAAAGCGAAACTACTTTGTTTGGTCTTCCAAAAGAGGACACAACTAGAAATCAGTGGTTAAGTTGTATTTACAACACTGTTCCAGAACAGTTCAACACAAATATTCAGATGTGTGCAGCGCATTTTATGGAGGACTGTTTCCTGATCCTGGTAGAGTAGACTACAATGCCGGCTCTTCTGACTCACAGACTGCAAGTACGTTTAAATATTTAAAGAATTTACCACTGATGATTCAAACGCGAGTTTGAAGCAGTGTAGAGTAGCATTTGTTGTTTGTCATTTCTCCGATCACAAA